CAAACTGGATCTAAACATCCATGGTTTACTGCAAATGTTGCCAAAGCTAGTTCCACATCAACGCACAAACACACCAGTCAAACTCTTGTCTTTACCTTTGTGAGAAAAAAATGAATGAAAGGTGTTTTGATTGAACTTAATACAACTATTTTCTTTTAGAAATGGTTAAACATCAATTTAAGTTTTAGAAAGATTGCATAACTTAAATACCAGGGAATGTTTTGTAATTTTTCAGAAAAACAGCTAATGATTGGTTATTTAGCCTTTAGCCGAGGGGGAGCCGCTAATTCAGCCACACAGTTCCCAACCTGAGTGGGAACTTTCGCCCCTTCCCAAAATTACTTCAACGGAATTAATTTTGGGAAGGGGCGAAAATACTGGTTAGCTGATTGGCCTATGTTGGTGATAGACGGGCCAAATAAACCAATCAGATCAACGACGAAAAGAGCGACGACGAAAACACAACCACAAGCCAGGCTACTCTTGCCGAAACCAGTCGGGAGAAGAGCAAAAATATATTTTCTTTCAGTGAAGAAATACTCTGTAATTCCGATTAAACTTGATAGCCACGCTAACGCTAGTTTCATCGGCTGAAGCCGCCATGTTCTTTAGACTGAACTGTCGCGCTTCTCGTTGTGTCACACCTCAACGCTGATTGGACGTTCGTTTGGTGAACGGCTCCAAATTTTCTTTAACGGAGAGTCTCCAGACTGATTAGCGAGTGAAATCTTGAAAGCTCGCAAGATCAGGCTAGGATTCCCCATGGTGTCTAAATAACGTCTGCTCTGGGCGCAGTGAGACTCAAACAGAGGCAGACTTCTGAGTCGTGGTTCTACTCTGTTTATAGTTAAACATCAGCTCCCCTTGTGTCGGCATCTTTTATCCAGTCTGAAGCGGGTCAAACCTCCGCTCCTTTCCCTGGTCTGCATGCGTATCTCAGCCGGTCCCAGTTCTCCTACCCTGCCTGCTCCGTTTTGTTTACGACACCTAAAACTCTAGTAATTCTGGGTAAAACCACTTCTGCTCCGCTTTCAGCTGCAGCCAGAACTGGGCCGGGCCTTCATGCCTTCCAGCAGAGGAATAAATCTGACATTCGGTACCACAAAACCAGGGAGTTTATTTGAAGCTCAAGTGCAGCATAGTCATTACAGTGTGGTTGGGTTTTTTTTTTTTCGTCTACGTTTGCCACCAGCGTGCAGATGGAGGGTCAGCCCAGATTCTTCTGGACCTTTTATTTCACCAGAACCAGGCCACTGAAAGGGATCCGCTGGGTTTGCATTTTTTAAACCCTCTGAAACCAGATTAAACACCACTTCACATTTTTATATGTGCCTCAGTTTTTTTTGTTTTTTTAGTGAAGGAAACTAATTTTAGTAAATAAATAAAACCTCATAATCAGAGAGCGGTGTCTGATAAGTGTTTGATTCCTTCCTATCAAAGGTACGAGGCTCACACAGCTTCTATAACGAGGAAGAACTGTGATTAGAGGATTTTATAACATATCTAGTTAGAGGTTTTTCTTTTATTATCTCTGTGCTCTAAATCAAAGCTGCAAACGCTGATCATCACAAAGCCACAGCTTATGGATTCATCCTGCAGTGTTTGTCCTGTTCAGACCTGTTATTAACACACATCCTGCATGTTTCTAAAAGAAAAACCAGCCTAAGAGCGGCTGTTCAGAGCTGGTATTAACAGATCCACCCGCCTAACGTCACAGAGACGGCCGCAGGCTGACAGATACATCAAATCCTTTTACTGGATTATTGTTTCGACTTCAGCATCATGGCTGCATATCATGTTTGCTCTGCTGTTTGACAGACACACAATAAACCACCTTATGTGGGACTTTCCAAAGTTCCACCCAGTGAATAAAGATTTGGATCCATTAGATGATTTTTTTTGTTATCCAAACTAATAATGTGCATCTTCATTTTATCAATGGATCCAGTGCTGAAGGAAAAATTCTTAATGATGTCGATAACATGTAGAAAACTAGCAACGACACGTACAGATCCATTGTTTAGATCAGGGCTTTCCAAAAGCATTAATTCCCCTTGAAACTTTTCCACGTTATCGCATTAGAGATATAAATGTATTTTATTGGAATCTTGTGTGAAAGATCAACACAAAGTGGGAACAACCGGTGCAGAAAGGAAATAATACATGATTTGAAACTCAAACAAAAAGGTTAAAGGAATAGTACACCCAAAACATGATTAGCCTTCATTTTCTACTCACCCCCATGCTGAACAACACTCTGGAGTACTTTTTTGATATCTCAA